CATTTATCCATTTTATCCATTTATCCATTTGATATCCGGATATCCATGGATAAATGGCTAAATGGATAATGGATTGGAACTCTAGCAAAGTGTACACCCAAATAACTAAATTTGAATTAACATAGTCTTTAAGGACTAAATCGAAAAAAAAGTTGGAGCACATACATCAGTCGTTCAGCATTTACACCCAAAATTCTACGCCTGTGTGAAACTGATATCAATTTTGCCACCTTTTTCATAAAATATAGATCAATGCCAGGATCATTTATCTCAAAATAACATCTCACAATTGCTAACAGAGTCTACAAGTTCAAATGACGATGTTTCACAATTACAAACAGAGTCAACAAGTTCAGGTGATGATATTTCACAAGTGCCAAATGATTTTAATGATTTCAACGAATTATCTGAATCTACAAGGTCTCCTGCAAGTGAATCTTATGACCTTGGAAATCTTATGGTAAATAATCCCTGGAGGACCTCACAAACATACATGACTCAAGGTATGTGAACATTTTAATTAAAGTCGTTAATCATGCAGGCTATAAAGTTTTCCAATTATTTTTTGTTAGTTACAATTGCAAACAGCTGATAATTCTGCATATTAACGTTAACATTTTATTTCTCATTGCAAATACTAACGTCAATGATACTGTAGAAGGTAAAAAAAAAAAAAAAAGCATTAAAAAATAAGATAATTAAAGACATTTACATACAATCTAATTTTAAATAGAGTATTCAAACAACACAAGGCTAATTAAGGACATTATGTTTGAAGGTATGTATAATAGATAAAAATTCTATACATGTATCTAGGGATGGTCACGATTCTGAGTCGATACAAGTCAGACTTTGATCGAGCCGAGTTGATGGACTTTTTGCAGAGTTCTTAATATAATCAAGCCTTGAGTCGATTCGACTCACTCAGAAGTGTGAATCAGCCGAATCGTGAGTCAAGTCATGGCTTGTTAAGTCGTGACCATTCCTACACGTATCATACATGCGTGCAAAGATTTCTATTCATCTTAAATACTATATTAATATCTCAATAATCTAAATTATTTGGATCTTAGGATTACAACTTCTTCAACAAGTAAATCTGTTAGGTATGTCAACGTTTTAATGGTTGAAACTATTTCTTATGAAACATCATAAGTTTCTAATATTAATTATAACTTATAAATATCAAGATGCACAATCTCCAGCATCAAGCGGTAAGTTATTTATGATAGGATCGTTTATAAAAATCAAAGTGTGTTTTCTCATAATATTTTTGTTATTATTTGTGCAAAATAGAATATCTCAATAATCTTCATATGACTTTAAGGTCGCAAGTCCAGATGGGCCAACTATTAGGTGAGCCTTGTTTAACCGACAATCGTTTTATTGGGTTCTACCATAAAATCCCGAAACCATTTTCCCAAAAGAACATAATACCGACTAAATTGGCCAACATTATAACTAATGCCGGCTAACTTTGTCGGTATTAGGTCCTTTCAAGAATCTGTCTTTCGAGATTTTGTGGTAAAACCGTTTTATTGGCAGGTCATTTAACAAGCATCACACATCGTGATAATTTGCCCACGTACGTACTTACGTACAATACATACCAGATACGACATCTTTTTTAATTCACTATCACACTCCGTCTTCTAATTTCCGTTAAATTATTATTTCACGTGATGCCAGTTGAATACCGTAAAGTGCAGACAAGATAAAATTTTATTTATATTCAGATACATACACATCTCAAAAAATACTGTACATTCTTGTGTTTGGAAAATAGCTAGGTATTGAAAATTGGCAAAGACAAAACAAATACACGTTTCTAGTATTAGTGATAGTCAGTCAGCACATTACGGCAATCTGCGACAAAACGAAAAACGAATAATATATGAATTTTTATATACAAGTGTATACAGTTAGAACTTCTTAAGTGTGTCCCTTTGAGACTAGCCATAACTTGCATTTAAAGATAGTGTGCATTTAGCGATTGAGGCCCGAGAGTGCATTTATTGAGGGTGTGCATTTAGGGAGTTCTGACCGTAGTTAACTAATAATGCATAATCTAAAAGTTAAACCTTTTAATATAAACACCATATAGTCCGACCTTGGGCGGATTCCCAACATCTGACAAGTTCATTAATGGATATTAATACGCAAGAGAATATAAGCATGGCAGAAGGTGAGAAAGTTGGTTTATACTGAGCGTGCATACAATAACTAGAAGTTAATTGATTTACTTTGAATTAGCGCATCAAATTGCGCCAGCAAATCATTACCCTTAAGAATTTTTGGAAGAGAATTAGAACAATATAAAATTTTCACTAATGTCATGGTGGGAACAAGTATGCGGTATACTTGTTTTTGATTTGGGAAGGTTCGAAACGAATTGTTATGTGCAAATGATGCACGTTTATTGATCGGAATTGTAAATGGCAGAATCTAGGCAAAATCTCAAGATATTTTACCGAAGTAAGAAAATAACTATGCATGGAAAAAAATTATGTAAAGATATGTAATATAAGAGTCTAAGATCGTATGATAATTTATGATGTAATAATATGAAGTCAAAACACGACTACATTATTTGTTATGCCGGGTACTTTATACAGTACAGTACTAGATAGTAATATTTATACTTGGCAGTTTCTTAAAAAACAAAACTGAATATACTGTAAATAGCTTAACAATAAGTAAGTTGGATTGAACTTCAATTATTTAAGGTATATCATTAAAAAATATTTTAGACATTCTTTATTAAAGTAGTTACACTCAACATATGGGGTTGAGTCAATAGAAATCAAGCAAATTTTTTATAGTAAAAATTTTTTATAACTTTAAACAAGAATAATTTAACAAAAACTTAACCAAATATAATAAAAATTTTTTTAAATGATTTTTATAAACTTGTAGAATTAATTTAAAAAAAATTTACTGAATTTGATCAAGGTTTTGTTAAGTTATTCTTGTTTAAAATTTTAAAAAAACTTACTAAAAAAGATTTGCTTGGTTTCTATTGACTCAACCCCATATATTCTGTTAAATATTTACAATAAATTTCTATATAGTATTAGTTATTGATACCACACAATAAATTTAACAATTGCAAAGTGTTAAAGCAAAGTAATTAAAACTATGCTATTTAATGTCAGTACAATCGATTTTAACCCACTCTCTGGTTATTATCACTTAAGATAATTTTAAAATAAGTGAATTTATAAATAAATTTATATAAATTTAAACATACTTACTCTCTGAGGATAAGTGGATGTAGTTCTTCGTTAAAATTCAAACGACAAATTTATGTTTTAAGAATAATTTCCATGCTCACGGACTATTAATTTTATGCGTATGAATAAACAGAAAAATAGATTAAAGATTTCAATAAACATATAAACATTGTAGTTTAATATTTAATAAAATTTTCAAGAAATAAACTCAATACTCACTCTGGTAATTTAACATATATTGAGTATTATAAGTGATGAATTTATAATATAAAATTTAATAATTGAGATCTATTCTTACTTTCTGATAGTTTAAACAAAATAAGTGAAAGAATGTTTAATAATGATAAACGGATGGATTTTTATATGGACAAAATTCTAGACTTACTGTCTAGTTTAACACAGTAATATAATATAATTCTGTTGATGAAAAACGTGTATATTTTTTTATAATAAACTATATACCTACTTCTGGTAAATTGACATGAAGTGAAAAAAAAACAGAAAGTAATATTCATAGAGAACTCTGTTGATGATAAAATGTATACGTTATTTTATAAACTACATATACTCACATCCTGGTAATTTAACGCATAAGCGAAAGAATGAAATAATGTTTAATAGAGAATTTATTGATAAAATATATGCATTATTTTATGAATAAACTGTATACTTGCGCCCTGGTAATTTTAGCACGTACAAGAGAACAAAGAAATAATATTTAATAGAGAATTCTATGATAAAATGTGTACATTTTTTTATAAGGATAAATTTATTTGTCGCCCCCGCGACGCATTTATTTGTATTATATGCTCAAAAAAAACGTTCGAATAGATATAACAATAAGTTCTAAATTGTATCATTGTAACTTTAGGTAGAATGCGATATAAATCTACATATTTAAAAATTGGATTAATAATGTATCTTAGAAATAGAATGAGTGTAATCGACCATAAGAGTGCAATTTGTCAATAGACCAACGTTCATTATATGTATATATATGCAAAAATTAAATTCGATCTTGTAAATGCATACCACAGGGAAAACATGCAAATTTTAATAAGATTTGCAAAATTTTCCTTCACGTACTAATTGCAAACCGTTTGATAATTAGACTCAGATAATCAGTAATTTTCGAATATTACCAGTTAGTTATTTTCAAGCAGCTTATTTATGCGTAGATGAATCATCAACCTTTCATCTTAAGAATTTTATAAACTCCCTATCTACAGATGTTCCTCCGCATAAATCACCTGAACGTTTAGTAATGATTGCAAAAAAATAAATAAAAATAAACCAATAAAAAGACCGTATTCAACTGTTAATATTGCAATTTTAATTTTGAATAGTACATTTTATTTCCAATACATTTTGCCTTTAGCGTACATACTTATATTACGTATGAAATAGAGTTAATTGCTTTTTTTCTCACACCTTGCGCTATTGTGACCAACCTGACCACAGGTACGACAAGCATATGGTTGCCGATGTGTTTTCTCTGTTGCAGACTTGTAACGTTTAGTCTCACGTCTACTGTATGTAACTGGTGGATTTACGATTTCTAAATTATTTTCACTATCAACTGACATCTCATTCTCATTTTTATTGTTTGTTGTAGAACTTTTTTTTTCGATCTATAAATGCTTTTAGCCATTGTTTCATTTCAGTATCATCAGATTCAACTGCAAGCAGTGTTGCTTGTCAGGCAAGACCCCAAAGTTCACCATATTTTGAATGCTGAATTGCCACACATCGATTACTTGTTGGTACTGAATGTGGCATAATAAGTGGTTTAGGAACAACTTGTGTAATTGGGCTTTGTTGAACTTGAGCTGCATTCATATTTGCAAATATTATGTTTAATTGATCAATTTTTTCTTCCTTTTTGTTATCACAATACCAGCATTGTGCTATCATTCCAATGTAAAACTGGTAATTTGTGATACTAGCATTACTTGAAAGTAGTAACAGCAAAGTATAGACAGATGAACCATCTTTTCAAAGTGAATTTACTAGTAGATTTGTAATTGTATTATACTACTAGCTCTTAGGACCCGGTCATTGACCGGGTTCGAGTTCCTAATTTTTTGCTAATTCTTAGGCCTTAACTTTTAGGCCTCAACATTATTAGCTCTTAAAACCCAGTCCTTGACTGGGTTCAAGCTCCTAATTTTTTGCTAATTTTTAGACTTTAATAAAATTAGCTTTTAAATTATATTAACTCTTAGAACCCAGTTATTAACTAAATTTAAGTTTCTAATTTTTTGCTAAATCTTAGGTCTTAATATAATTAGCTCTTAAAACCTGGGTATTGTCTCGGGTTTGAGTTTTTAATTTTTTGCTAATTCTTAAGCCTTAATATTCTTAACTTTTAGGTCTCAATGTTATTAGCTTTTAGGACCCAGTCATTGCCTGGGTTTAAGTTCCTAATTTTTTACTAATTCTTAGGTCTCAATAGTATCTAAATTTTAATTTTTACTAATTCTTAAATCTCAACAATATTAGCTCTTAAAACCTGGTCATTGTCCAGGTTTGAGTTTCTAATTTTTTACTAATTCTTAAACCTTAACAATATTAGCTTTTAAATTTAAATTATATTAACTC